AATCTGCTCACACCGCAAAGATCCACAAAGAGGAAAGTTTAGTGCGACCACAAGTACTGAAATTTGGCACTTTCAAATCCACTTGCGAAGGAAATCTGGTGACAACCATCAAGCCCCTGCTGTGGGAGTCTGTCCCAGGCTCGAACTTCCCTGCCTCGTCCAGCAGGTGTCCACAGCACAGCCAGCTCACAGGAGGCATCAAGCCGGAGAGATTCATTGGAGCAGCTTTATAGGTAAGTGAGCTACACTCTGTGGTAGCATTCACCATCTCAACATTTTTATCCCTCTCTTTCCCCATGCCCACCCAGAATTCACTCTGCTGGCTCTGGGATGAGGAGGGAGCACTTCCAGCGCAACACCCAGCCCTGGAGAGGAGCCTGGTTGCTTTGACTTCTTTCTCGAAACTTTGGCTCCTGTGCATCTTCATAGACTCCTTTACAGGTGCTGAGGGCTTGGAAGTTTAGGGAGAATGGGATCAAAACAAAGTCCCTCGGGCTGCTTGGGTTGCGGTACTTACAGATCCCTGAGAGAGGAAACCTGGGTTCTGAGAGGGTCAAGCAGGGGAAGTGAGGCAGGGAGAAGAGGTTATGCACAGGCCAGGTTTGTGCAGGACTCCAAGACCCTCTGCGGGGGGGGGGGGGGGGCTCCATCTTCTCAGAGACAAGACTCTGTAGAATGTTAGGGGAAATTTGCCATTAGGCAGGGAGGAACTGCATCCCAGAACTAAAGAGATCTAAGAACCCGAGAGTCCTGAGAATTTTTTTTATCTACAATGAGAACATGATCTTCCAAGAGGCAATGCATCATCCTAACAGGGAATGTGCCAGGGTTATTTGTTTCCCAAGAGGCATCATCTCCCACTCTTGTGTCCCCACCCCATTTTATTCCCTCCTGCCGAACGGCACTGCCTGCAGAACTAGAAACATCTGTCTGAATGCCATCATCTCCTGCTAAAGGTAACAACAGCCAAAGTTGTGAGTTGAGCTCTGAAAGAATTTTCTCCAGTGAACACTCTAAAGAATTTTACAAGGAAAAACTAGTGTTTAAACCAGACTCAAAGGTTGTGGAAGATCAGTGAGTTTCATTCAGGGACCAGAATTCATGGACTCCAGACTCCAGCTTACTAGTTGAGAACTGCTTTCCAGGTAGATGCCCGTGGGAATTTAAGTCATAAAATTTTTCATAGTTACAGGCATGAAATTAGAGAGCCTGGGTCCCAGGTTAGCCCTCAGATTTCCTATAAGATGATTCCACACCAGTTTCCTTGAGTTTCACTTTGGGGTGAGATATGGTTCCTTCCCCTTTTGATGTTGGGGAGTGGACTAGGGATGCTGGCTTAAAACAAGGTGCTGAATGGGAGGTGCTGGGAGGAAATGAACAGATACTGCTCAGCAATGAATAGAACAGGGTGGGGCTGCAGCTCCTAACTGGGCAGAAATGAAACTGCATTTCCCGTAATCTTACAAGACTTTCGGTTTTGTTTTTCTTTGGTCTCCCTGTCTCCTCTCTACTCATAGCTCTCTACCCCAATGCCTACCCTGCAAGCAGACTATGGTAGACAGAATCTTGCTAAAAATATAGCCCAGGTTGTCTTCAGACTCAGTTTTGCAAGTGCTGAGAAGACAGGCATGCAACCCCAACCCCCCTGACCCCCCATTTCCCCTTGCTTTGGAGTGAAGATATCATCTGGAAAGCCCTCAGGGAAACTGGTCCCAAGTTTGGGGCAGCATCCCATGGAGGAAATAGGATCTACCAACATTAACTTGTTGTGATAAGGAGAAGAAGATCAGCACAGCAGAAGCAGACATCTCTCTCTGCTGTCTAGGCACAGCGCTGTTACACTGAGACTATTGTGGAGCTCTGAACTTAAGCACAGATGGCTGTGTCCCATTGGTGTTCCTCTGCCAGGAGTCAGGACTTCTGCCTCAGCATCTCTTCCTCTAGAATGTCTTGAGTTCAAGTCAAAAGCTTTCTCCCCTGAGGGCTTCTCTGAATGAAGATCTCTCAGGAATGCATCTTCGCGTTCCTAGGCAACCCTAAGGTATGCTGTGCATGGTGCAGTTGGTTCTAGGTCTGCAGTCACAGTGTGATCTCCTAGAGGCACTAGATGCAGCTCTATAGGCTTGCCCAAGATAAACCTGGTAGAGCAAAGACTGATGCCATCCTCTAGGGCATCATTTTCTAGTTCATTTCCAAATTCTTAGGTGTTCATCACTTGACCCAGTAGTTCTGATTTCCAAAGCTTCTCTCTCCATGCACATAGCTGTATGTACTCAGATGATTCTTTGCTAGTTTACAGACCTGAGACAGAAGGCCCAGTATGGCCTCATGGTTTAGACTAAATCTTCATTTCCAGAAATTCCAACTCCTTCCTCACATGGTTTTGCTCCTTCGGAGTTCCACTTCATACTTTCTGGATCTATCTCTGTTTTGTCTACTTGTTCTGGCCTCCCACCCATTCCAGCAGATCTTGATAGATGCCTGAACTATGCTGTGTATATGACTAGGGACTCCATGAGAGAACTCTTGGGCTTAATGAAAACCAGATGTGATTAGCATACCCAAACCTCAGTCACACAGAGCCACGACGCTAGTATAGTTGGAGTAACAGGGGATTCCTTACTCTCACATTAATGTTGCATGTGGGATTGGGCAGCGGGTTAGAGTCTTTTTAAGAAGAGTTCATGAGCCGGGCGGTGGTTGCGCACGCCTTTAATTTCATCACTCGGGAGGCAGAGGCAGGCGGATCTCTGTGAGTTCGAGCCCAGCCTGGTCTACAAGAGCTAGTTCCAGGACAGGAACCAAAAAGCTACAGAGAAATCCTGTCTCGAAAAATCCAAAAAAAAAAAAAAAAAAAAAAACAGTTCATTATAATTATACAAACTTGATTGTGAATAATATGTGACGCCATGGAAAAGCAAGATTCCAAATTCTCTTCTTCGCTTTCATATGGGATGGCAACACGACGAGTTCATGTCTGTAAAATATTGAAGCCATTTAATATAATCTAATTTTATGTATAGGTTGGGCACAGTGCATATCAGGCAAGTGTCCTTTCACTGAGGATCCCCCACATCCTTGGGACTCATTTTATGATGCTGTTACACTTGACATGATCATCCACCCATAACAATAGCAGAAAGAACCTCAGAGATGCAAACTTAAAACAATTGCCAGTAAATTAACTTTAGTGCTAAGGTAACAGAGTAATAGGACGTTTCTATGGTCACAGTTATTCAGGAGACTGAGGCAGGAGGATTGCTTAGGAGTTAAAGCCCATACTGGGCAGGAAAAAAATAAGGAAAACCATCCTGAGTACTCTTTCTCCCACAGAAACATTAAAAACCAGAGACCCACTGAATTACAAGTCAGAGGTTGACGGCAACAACATGTATGCCCAATCAAAAAGAAGTCAGCTTCAAAACTGGGAGAGCTCAGGCTAGAAAGATGGCTCAGTGGTTAAGAGCACTGGCTGCTCTTGCAGAGGACCAGGGATCTGTTTCCAGCACCCACCTACAGACAAGCATCCAGTCCCAGAGGATTCAGTGCTGTCTTTTTTTTTAAATATTTATTTTATTTTTATTATGTATACAATATTCTGTCTGTGTGTATGTCTGCAGGCCAGAAGAGGGCAACAGACCTCATTACAGATGGTTGTGAGCCACCATGTGGTTGCTGGGAATTGAACTCAGGACCTTTGGAAGAGCAGGCAATGCTCTTAACCACTGAGCCATCTCTCCAGCCCCCACTGAGCCATCTCTCCAGCCCTCAGTGCTGTCTTATGACCTCTATGAACACCACACACACACACACACACACACACACACGCTAATAGACACACATGTATGCAAAATACCCATAAGCACAAAATAAAAAAAAAAAGATCTTAAGGCAACAACAACAACAAAAGTAGTTAACAGGTGTCATATCATTTTATTCTCCATTTGCAGAACAATGGACCCTGCTGGCTCTTAAGAGGAAACCCCGGCGGGTGAGAGGCACAGAGACCCAGCCTGTGTCATTCTGACACTGATCTGACAGAGTGGCACAGTTTGGTGGAATACGAATATAGACATTTTTCCTTGCAGTGTAGGTGGCAAAAGGTCAAAATGAAGATGCTGTCGCCATTGTGGTCAGGATCTAGTGACAATCCTCTTTTGTTTGAAGACCGCCAGCATCTCACTGTGACATGACATACAGCGTGAGCTTAGCTATCTGGAGTTCCTTTTATCAGAACACTGGGACCATTTAGATGGTTCCACCTTGTTGACCTGGTAACCCCCCAGAGGCTTCATGACCACAGAAGTAGTAATTACAGCATCAGCTTTGAAAGGAAAGAAGCCTAGTGATTCTGTTTAAACTGTAAGAACCACATCTCCCTGGAAATATGTGGCGGTCTAACAGGAAGAGAGGACCACAACTCAGGTCGTCCTCCCTAAGATCAATGGCCAAAGTTTGTGAGTGAAATTTATTCCTAGAAAGAAAGAAAACAAATTCCCTTCTCTATTGTTCTGTGTCCCTTAGGTCCCAAGGGACAATTTTGCTAAGGGACTCTCCATGAAGAGAGATCATCACACTTGATGAATGAACATCTGAAATTGTTCAAGAAAAAGTATCAGTGGCTTTATAGAAAACCTACATCTTTAAGAAAAAAATTAGGTAAATTGCCCTTGTAGTTTATGGAAAGACACAAAATTCACGTTGTATCATGTTAAATATGAAGAAGGAAATAAATTATTGATAAGATGAAGCTAAAATACAGATGGATCATAATGAAGGATAGCAACAGACCTGAGAGTCACTACATATGTGCGCTATCATGGCCTAATATCTATCTCCAAATGGCTTATTCCCCCACCTGCACACTGCGCAGTGCCATGGAACTCTCCCAGTGTACAATTTTGCTGTTAGCTTCTCAGTATAGAATTTGCTCTACCTCTTCAGCCTTATTCTAATGGTTCTGCGTGTCTTCCAGGAAAGAATTTCTGTCTGGGAACAGAATGGCTGGGGTGGAACAGAACATCACCATCGATCCTGAAAGCACCTCCGCTGAGCTGGTTCTAAATGTAGAAGTCACTCTTGGAATGAAAAGTGGGCAGGATGGTCTTGGGAAACAGAAGACAAACATTTTACCTGCTGTGTGTGCTCTGCTGAATTCCCAAGGAGGCAAGGTCAGGGCTCATATTAAAAATCAAGACTGTAATTACAACAAACACAGAATAAGAGAAGATTTGGAGACCTCTTTCAAGGCTATTATGCCACTTGCTCAGAACCAACTAGACTTCAAACAGGAAGGACACTGCCTTGTCATCTCTGTGAAACCATGCAGTCTGGATAACTCTGGTTTGAAGCCTGCCACCATTGCAACCAACTTGTACTTGAGAAATGGGGCCTCCTGTTCTCCAATGAACTTGAATGCTGCTCTGCAACTTTTCAAAGGCCCGGAGAACCCTGGATTAAGATCTCCGATAAAAACAATGTCGTCTGACAAAAGGCCTGGGGAAGATGTGCGAGAAGAACTCTGCATCCAAAGACAAGAAGAGCTCAAGGGGCAAGAAGAACGGGATGTGCAAGAAGAACGGGATGTGCAAGAAGAACGGGATGTGCAAGAAGAACGGGATGTGCAAGAAGAACGGGATGTGCAAGAAGAACGGGATGTGCAAGAAGAACAGGATGTGCAAGAAGAATGGGATGTGCAAGAAGAACGGGATGTGCAAGAAGAACGGGATGTGCAAGAAGAACGGGATGTGCAAGAAGAACAGGATGTGCAAGAAGAACGGGATGTGCAAGAAGAACGGGATGTGCAAGAAGAACGGGATGTGCAAGAGCTGGCTGCGGCTTTTTTTAACCAGACAGAACTCACAGAAGAAAAATTCTCCTTTAGCGAATCCATAAATGTTGAATATAAATCGTTCGAAACAAAAAAGTTGTTACAACGAGTTAAAGATATTCTTCCTAAAACTCTCTCTGCATTTGCCAACAGTGACGGGGGATATTTGTTCATTGGCTTAGATGAAAAAGAAAAGCAAATAGTTGGTTTTGAAGCGGAGAAGAGCTATCTTGTGTATCTAGAGAGTGAAATAGAGAAGTGCATCCGACAGCTGCCTGTCATTCACTTCTGTGAGAAGCAGGAGAAGATAAAGTACACATGCAAATTCATCCCAGTCCTCAGACAGGGAGCCGTGTGCTCATATGTGTGTGCGCTCAGAGTGGAGAAGTTCTGCTGTGCTGTGTTCGCTGAAGAGCCTGAATCCTGGCACGTGGAAGACAGCTGTGTGAAGAGGTTTACCTTAGAGGAATGGGTCAAGATCTTAATGTCTAGCAGTCCAGGGTAAGGAAGGGGAATTAACAATTAGAATACATTTAGCTTTGGAAGTTGGAAGACTTTCTCTTGGGAATTTGAGACAAGATCATTAGTTCTGACTCTACTCAGTTAGTGATCAACAGCGGAGCTGAAGTCTCCACTGCTCCTGCCAACTACCTGGGACAGAGATTCCTCTCACCCTGGATATCACATCAACCACCTCTACTCCCTTGTAAAGAAAGCTCCAGCATCTCCCACCTGAGCTCCATTTCTGGCAGTAGGCATTTCTTTCAGCAGTCTGGGCCTTGGTTGTTCGCTGTTTCTCTCCCCACCTTTTTCCCATTGACTCTTCTCCCTGAACCGTCCTCCCTTCCAGTCACATTATTAGACATCACACAGCCCTAGAGTGTGTGATGAGAAAAGTACCTTGCGGTGTGTCAGGTTTGCAAAAGAAAAACCTCCAATGAGGCCAGAGCAGCCCCAGCAGCCCCGAGTCTGCACAGTTCCCAGCAGCTGCTGCCGTCTCCACCCAAGCTCACCATTGCTTCACCAGCCTCCCACCTTCTTTTCCACAGCTTTTCAATAAATACACAGATAAACAAATAAAAACCTCAGCAATGTGCTCACAGGAAACAATCTTCTTCGTGAGAAACCGTCCATTGATTTGGGCCCAATTAGATCTAGTTTAGAGATGAGAGAGTTTTGATTTAAATTTTAAAATCCCCACAGAAAATCATGGGACTGATAAATTTCAACTCCAGGATCCAAAGCCAAGGCTGCCCGACCCCAAAGTCAGTGTCAGCCTCCATGCCTCTCTGCCTCCCTGGACAGCACGATCAGTGACGGGCAGTGATGTGGGAGTCCCCTCTGTATGCTGGGATTACCATTGATTAATAAAGAACTGTTTTGAGTCTATAGCAGAGCAGGAAAGAAGAGAGCTAGGTGGAGAAACTAAACTGAATGCTGGGAGAAAGGAGGCAGAGTGAGAGAGAAGCCATGTAGCCCTGCTGGAGACAGACAGTGGAATTTTACCCGGTAAGCCACAGCCACGTGGCGATACACAGATAATTAAGATGTAAGAGTTAGCCAATAAGAAGCTAGAGCTAATGGGACAAGCAGTGATTTAATTAATACAGTTTCTATGTGGTTATTTCGGAGCTGAACAGCCAGGAAGAAACAAGCAGCCTCTTACTGCAGTGCAGCTCCGTGTTGACAGTAGTGGTCTGATTTATGCTGAGAAGAAGGAATACACTTATAGTATTTCATGTCAGCCAAATTGATTCCTCTGAAGTGCCACAACCTTTTCTCTAAAACCTAATATTTACCCAAGTGACTTACATAGAAGGAGATGTTCAGAGAAATGTATTATCTTCACTAAGAAATTTAAAAACATAATTGTCATCAAATTTTCTGTAGTGCCACACTACAGAAGAGTAGAAACAGAGAACCATAAAAGAGAACCCATTCTTGTTCTACCCTGATCCAACAGACGGACCACAGCTGTTTTTCACTTTTTTTGTCTCCATGCCCAGAAGCATCTTGGCTGAGTTGTCGTCGTGGGCACACTCCACCTGCTGCCCCTCAGGGCTGATGTTCCACAGCCCCTTCCCACTCTGCAGACAAAGCATCTTCCAGGTCACAGCCTAGGCACAGCAGGTCCTTGTTGCCTTTGAGCAATGAGGGGATGGCAATGCGGGTTTTCTGTAGCCTGAGATGAGGCCTGTGGGAGAGGAAGAGGCTGGTGGATTAGCACTTTACTCGATTAAGTCTTAAAATCCAGGACATGGGAGGATTCCAACACTCCAGGGCACTCGACCACAAAACAATACAAGAGAGACACATTCCCCTCCCCACAGGTCACTGTGAGAAGCTGGCACCGGTGACAATTGTGTCCTCCGTGAAGAGTGGCAGTTGACAGGTACAGAATCCCGGAGGTCCGTAAGCAGATCCCTGCTTGCCCAAAGGTTACTAGACAGTGGTAGCAATTGCGACCCCACTACATACTGTTTGGCATTATTTGATTTAAAGCAACTGAAAAACTGCAGATGCAAGAGAGACAATCTAATTCTTTCTCCTCCTAGAAACAGGAGATGAAAACTCCCCCAGGCAAGGTGCCCTCCCTGTAGGAAGAAACATGCTTCTGTGGGAATCTCAGAGAAGAGCATTCTATAGCAAACCTTTCTTATTTATAATCCCTTTCTCACTGCATTCTCCCTTTGCTCCTTTGCTATCCTTTCCCACGACATTTTCCCCCCTCTTATTCTCTGTTCCTTCTTCCCTTTTGTCCTGTTCTTCTTCCAAATAAATCCGAATTTTGCATGTAAAAGAAGATGATCTTGCTGGGTGGTGGTGGTGCACGCCTTTAATCCCAGCACTCGGGAGGCAGAGGCAGGCGGATCTCAGTGAGTTCGAGACCAGCCTGGTCTACAAGAGCTAGTTCCAGGACAGGCTCCAAAACTACAGAGAAGCCCTGTCTTGAAACGAGAGAGAGAGAGAGAGAGAGAGAGAGAGAGAGAGAGAGGATCCATATTTCTCATTCCAGGTCTGGCTTATTTTACTAAACAAAATAATCTCAAGCTGTAGCCCCTATCCTGGGAAAGAGAGCATCTCTTCATTTTCATCGTGGTTAAGTAAACCCTCGTTGTGAAGAGATGTCAGAGTTTCTTTATCAAGTCCTCTGTTGATGCGCACTGTCCTAATTCCACATTTGGTCTATTGTGAGCGTTCTCCAGATGACCCGGATGTGCCTGTATCCCTGTCATCTATAGACTTAGATTCTTTCAGGCTTCGACGCAGGATTGGTGCAAATGCATCCTGAGGTGGGTTTTGTCCTCGGTAATCTCCACAGTTTGGTTTCATGATTGCTCTAAGTTACACACATATAAACTGTTATTATCCTCTAGGGGAAGAGATCTGTTGTTGCTATTCTAGTGTTTTCAAACACAAGTTTTCTATTTCTTGACAATTTCATACATATGAGCAATGTATCTTGATCAAATCAAGCTCCAGCCTCTCCTGAGATGCGCCCTCCCCATCTCCACCACATCTCATTAAAATATAATCCGCTGGGACCACTAAGTGCTGCCTGCTTAAGTGTGGGCAAGCTACAAGGAGTCACATCTCTGAGTAAAAATGATCACCCCGTGTGCTGGATAGTTTAAGTCAACCTGACACCAGCTAGTCATCTGAGAGGAGAGAACCTCAATTAAGAAAATGTCTCTATAAAATTGGGCTGTCAGTTATCCTGTAGGCATTTTCTTTTTGTGATGGATAGAGGAAGGCCAGTCCATTGTGGGTGGGGCCATTTCAAGTCTGGTGGCCCTGAGTTCCATAAGAAAGCAGACTGAGCAAGCCATAGGGAGCAAGTCAGTAAGCAGCACTCACCCTTGGCCTCTGTATCAGCTCCTGCCTCCAGGTTCCTGCCCTGTTTGAGTTTCTGTCTTAACTTCCTTCAGTTAAGGATTACAATGTGGAAGCGTAAGACAGATAAACCCTTTTCTCCCCAGTTTGCTTTGGACATGGTGTTTTATCACAGCAATAGTAACCTCAACTAAGACTCCACCTCTCCAGCAGCCATCAGCTGCCAACAGCCTCTCTAGGATGGAGCTTCATAACTACCTCCCCATCCATGCTGCAATTATTCACTGACTGGATCTTGTGTGGGTCGTGTGCAGATGCTCACAGCTCCTGTGAATTTATGAGCACAGCAACCTTGTCATGTCTAGAAATGGCATCTCACAGAACTGGAAGAGGCATTTTAAAACATTTTCAGACAATGGCTTTCCGTGTAGGTCAGGCTAGCCTTAAACTCACTGTGTAGCCCAGAATGGCCTCCAACGTACAACAGTCTCTTACCTCAGCCTCCCAGACTGCTGTGACTAAAAGAGAGAGAGTGTCAGCCAACCAGGAGGGATGGGGAAGAGAGAGAGGTTGCCTTATATGTCCAATAGTTTTACATTGCTCAAGAAGTGTTTTCCAGTAAGGAAATAAAGAAAGCAAACAAAACTGAGCAAAACTAACAAGAAGAAGCAAAATTGCTAGAGCCACCCAGGGAATCAGTCAGTTCATCTCCTTGACTATCTACTTAAGTGTTCTAGTGCCCTCCATGACCCTGAGAGTTTCAGTTGAAGCTCAGCTGAGGTTCCTGCTGGATCCCAGTTACTGGTGTGGCTCTTGAAACTGTGGCATCACTGGAAGACTAGTCAGTGCTCCTGACTGCTGAACCATCTCTACAGCTCACAAAACTACTTTGGAAAGTTTAACCACAAATGTTAGGAGCACCCACAAGAGTGTACAGGTGTGGAAATTACCCTGACAAGACTCAGGAAGTTCTCTCCCAGAATTAGTGAACAAAGCTGAAACTGCACTGCAAGCTGGTTCATGCAGAAACGTGAGGCAGGAGAATTGCTGTGACCTTGAAGCCTGTTAGAGCAAAGAATAAGAATTTTTTAAACAGAGGAGGTGAAGGCGGGTGTAGAGAGACAGAAAGTCTAGCAGAGACACACACAGACATTGAGAATAAAGGCCATTATCACTAGTTATCAGGATAGTGTGCATATAGAAATCTTTTAATGCAGTGATTCTCAATCTTCATAACCCTATGACCCTTTAATACTCATGTTGTGGTGACTCCCAACCATAAAATTATATTCCTTGCCATTTTTTTTTTTGGTTTTTTGAGACTGTTTTTTTTGTGTAACAGTCCTAACTGTCCTGGAAGTCACTCTATAGACCAGGCTGGCCTTGAATTCACAGAGATCTGTCTGCCTCTGCCTCCCAAGTGCTAGGATTAAAAGTGTGTGCCCATAACCTTGCTAGTTCGTAAGTGTAGTTTTGCTACTGCTATGAATCATAATGTAAACTTCTGTGTTCTACGATGGTCTTAAGTGAACTCTTTGAAAGGATTGCTCACCCCCAAAGAGGTCAAGAACCAGAGCTTGAGATCCGCTGTTCCAAGGGACTGTGAAATTCCTCCAAGAGTCACAGACTCACTGGCCTGTGGTACCGCGGGAAGAAAACACGGGGACAAGAGATTCACACTCATATCGAGACAGTGAAGGTGAACAGCCAGTGTGGACTGGACGGCTCCTGAAGACACACCCTCTAACCATGGCACTCAGACCTGGAGACGTCTGCTTTCTCTTTATGTCTTGAAGCCATTTGGCCACTCCACGGGCCAGCACATGCTCTCACTGGCTGCTGGAGACCAGAGAGGGTGTTCTCAGTGGTTACAAATCTAAGCTCTGGAGACATAAAGCAAGACGAAAGACAAACAATTTTCCCCTTGTGACGACATTATAAAAGGGACAGAAGGCACACAGAGACTATTCCAGGGGAGGCTGTGATTCACACCCAAACCAAACTCATGAAGTCACAGGAAAGAACCAGATCCCTCAGTCTTTGTCTATCTCTATTTCTGTCTCTGTCGCTCTGTCTGTCTCTGTCTTTCTCTCTCTCTCTCTCTCTCTCTCTCTCTCTCTCTCTCTCTCACTCTCCTCGTGTGTGTGCATATGTGTTTGGTTAGTGACACCAGACTTCACACATACTAGATAAATCTACCTCTGAGCTCCATCCCTACCCTGAGCAGAAAGTTTTTGACACGT